AGATCAGCCTGGCAATCTGGAAAGACAGTTCCTGCTCCACACCTGACACTTCAGAATGCCTTTTGCAGAAAATGACACTCATATCTAGCACGGTGCTTAAACTCGTCACCATAGCAAAGGCAAAGCAAACATCAGGTTCCCTAGAAACTGTGGGTGTCAGAGCATGTTGACTTTAAGGGAGGGAGAGGATCCCACATACAACCTTCTGGGTGCAGAAGGGTTAGTGTGCTGCAGGTAGGGAGAGGGGACAGAATCAAGCCCCAGGCACACAGGGACCAGGGTGGCCAGAGTGGGTCAGGGATCCACAGGAAAGACTCCCATTGTCACTGTCTTGAATTACTCAGTGCAGTGGCAAAGACTGCCTTGGGAGGTGAGTCCTTGTGATTGGGTGACCCAGTAAGGGCACAGATTCATTTAGCGCTGTTGGTCACTGACTAGTCTGGGTGGAGCGATGCAGACCAGCTGGTACCCAAGGGCTGGGCTTGCTGCTGCTGAGGCACACCTCCACTTTGCATTCAGAGCCCCCACAAAGCAGACAAATGCTGCCAGAGGCCCTGGGACTTCCTTCCTCAGGGCTCTCAGCTGGGAGAGGCAACTGCCGCTGCAGCCCTCAGCTTGCAAGTGGCCTTGGGTGCTGTTTCTAGCTCCTTTGGACTGTTCAGTCCCTTCTATTTATAACTGCACAAGCTCCTCCAGAGCAAAGGGAGTAACTGGGGAAACTGAACCTGAAGAAGGCATTGTCGAGCAGTGTATGCTTGTTGCAATGTACACCAACCACATAGTGGACTGCATGAGTAACGGTGAAGTCAGCAAGGTGAGGGAAGTCGTTATTCCCCTTTATTTAGCTATTGTGAGGCCGTATCTGGAGTAGTGTGTCCACTTAGGGTTCCTCACTGCAACAGAGATTGATCAAGTGGACCAAGTCCAGCATGGGGGCCACTGAGACAGCTGGGGGCTGCTTGGAGCATGTTTCCAGGAGGAGAAACAGAGGGACCTCCTCATCCATGAGAAGAAAGGCTAAGGGGCAGCCAGTTCCTCTTGTCTGTTAAGTAAAGGGATGCTATAGAGAAAATGGGACCAAACTTTTGTTAGAGGTGTACAGTGAAAGGACAAGGGGTGACAGACAAGTTGCAATGAGGGCAATACAAGTTTAGAAAAAATCACAGTGAGAGTGATCAGACACCAGCACAGGGTCCCTGAGAAGCTGTGAGATCTCCACTTTGGAGATATTCAAAGCTTGGTCTAGCTCTGAGGTGAGCCCTGTTCGGGGTAGAAGTTGGACTAGACAACTTCAGAGGTCCCATCTGATTGAAACCTCTGTATGACTGTATTTCTGCTAATCCTGCTAAAATGCAGGAAAGGGCTGGAAATGAGGAGGAACCCTGTGGCTTCTCAGAACCACCAGCTCATGTGGCAGCTTACCTGCTTACTCACCTGCACATGTTGGAGCTTCCTCTTTGAAGGGAGCTTGGAGCAGAACAAATCACGTGTTATTCACACACAACCTACACACTGGAAGCTTTTAGATCTCATGTTTGTCTCTAACACACTGCAAAGTCAGTGCCTCCCTGGGGAGTGTGCATGTTGAGGAGAACAATTTAAGATAAGCAACCCACCTGGCCGGGTGGCAATGTAGTGGGGGTTGATGCTTTGATGCTGCCACTTGCTCCTCTGGGTGTTTGTCCCCTCTAGGTGCTGCTCACAGGCTGTAGTGGCTGAAGGAGACTCTGCTCCCAGCTGTTCACCTTGCCAGGAAAATGGGAGACATTTCTGCTCTTCAGTTACCTCTATTTCTTGTCCATTGTGAAGACAGACATTGAAACCTACAGTGTGGGGTTTGTATGGGAGAAGATGACTGTTGTCACTCAGGACTGGACACACCATCTGTACCATCAGCCCTGCTATGGGGACTGTCACCTTTGGCAAAGAACTACCATGCACACTTGGGTCAACTGTTGCCACATCTGAGACGTGGCCCCATGATTCTGTTCCTTGGGAAATAGATCTGATTAAAGTGATCCCCCGGCCCAGCGAGCCCACAGAGAGTGGGTGCCAGCCTCCCCACTAGCCTGGGTTACTCAGGCACAGCCTGAGTCACCGTTGGACCCTGCCTTGTGTTTAATACTGAAACAGAGAGGGGACAGATGGCAGCAGAGAGGACATCTGAGGGAGGAAGGCAGGGCTAGCTGTCAGTGACCCATCACTCATATGGACAGGCCAGAGGGGATGCAGCTTTTCACCACTTCAGAAAAGGCTGGGGAGTGCAAGGGATGCCCCATGCTTATAATGGGCTTACAAGGCCCATTCCATGCAGCTCTTTCCTGACACCCCAGGAAACCAATGCTTGCTTTCTTGGTCCACGGTCAGGCTGTCAGGCATGGGAGCTGGGCTCCCCAACACCTCTGCCTCCATAGCCTGAAAGAGGACACAACTCAACCACAGACCTACCAGCTGGCATTGTCTGGTCCCTGCCCACAACCAGTCTGCAGCATCTTCCACCCCAGCTGAGAGAAGGGGACTCATTTACCACTCCTATGCTACAGCAAGGGCTACAGAGCTTGTGGGGAGAGGGTGAATCCCTCACAGAGAAACACCTTCCTTGGGGAGGGTGGTGCCAGCATCAGCTGCCAAAAGGGGAGCTTTTTTTGGCAAGGCGGGGAGCATTTGGGAGGTGAACCCAGCAAGGTCCTTCCCCATCCCAGGCCCTGGCACCAATGGCCTGGGTCTGTGCTCCAAGGGTTTACTGCACCCTCTATGCCCGTGCCTGGCTGGGCACGTGGAGCCCTATAGCCCTGGCAAACTTGCAGGATGGTGATCCTGAATGTCCTGGGTCTGAGTGGTGCCTCTGCCCTTTTTGCCATTTTCCCATGACATCCCTGACCTGAGGTTCAGCTGAGTTTGACCTGCCTCCTGACAATCCTGGCTGCTTTCATAATCTGTGTGTGCTCTGTGCCAACCATTCCCTGGTGTGTACATTTCTGGTGCTCTTGGTCTCCTTGAACAGGGAGAGGAGGGACCAGTGGGCTGTGAAGGCAGTGGACCTGCAGCCCCCACCACCAAGGGAGACTTTTGCAGGAGAGAGGGTAAGGATGAGCCTTACTGAATTCCAGTGGGCAGATTTAAAAAAACCCCAAACAAACCACAACACAAGGATTAGGCAACCTTCCTGCCTCCTCCACGTTTTTTTTGTGTCTAGCCTGTCTGGCCCCACCAGTTTGTAATTTCTCTGAGATGCATGTGTGTGTGTGTGTGTGTGTGTGTGTGTGTGTGAGACACCAAGTGGCCAACTAGTTTGGTTTAAGCTCAGTTTTAAGGAAAGAGGAAACTACTGCTTTCCCAAGAGCCCCTCCTGAGGTGTGAAAAATGTGCAGAGCAGCACCACCCCTTTCCCATCAGCACTAAATTCCACAGGAAATTTGTATTTAATTTAGCATTTAAATGAGCCCTCACCTAAAGCTGTCTTAATATTGAAGAAGTGCAAAAATAACTCTGTGTTTGTGTTGTTACGGACATTTAAAAAAAATTACTCTAAAAGGCACTGTAAATCCATGGAAGGAAATTTTCACTCTGCTGAGCAGCATGCACACTAACAACCAAGTAATCAAGAAAATTTCCATGCCCTTAATTGATGTGAGTGCATATGGTGTTCCTCATCTCTCCTAGTTCTGCTGCCTCTAGGGCTAAGGTGCATTTGGGAGATACTTTCTTGTCTGTAGCAGTCAGTGAAGGAGTTGATAAGATGAGGAAAACACACGGTAAGAGCACAACTTGCTCTTATTTCTCCTGTTAGCCTGTCTCTTTGCTCCAGAAGCAGGGGAGCTGGCTCTGTTTTAATATATTTTTGTCTCCACCTGGGACATACTCTAGCTACATTTAAGCCATCAATGGCACCACATCAGCTTGAAAACATACCTTCAAGGAAGTTTGGTATTGTTTCAAGCATGTCCTCCCTACCTTCAGTCTGCAAGTCAACAATTTGCATCAGGGTTTCACATACCCCCTTCCCAGTCTGCTCCCCAGTGTTACATTAGTATCCTTGAGTTTTGTCTCCCATCCTCTGTGTTACACATGTGGAACTGTGTAGGTAGAGGGGAAAGGAGAAGAGGAGGGTAAGCATCCTTTCCACCTCAGATTTACTAGAAAAAGGCAAGATGTCCTGTGACACATTTCAAACCAATGGTTTCTCATTCCAAGGGATTCAAAAGACTCGAATATCCCTGTGTCGCCCTTCAGTGCTGATAGGCAGAGTGGGGAAGGCCCAGCCTGACATATTCTAGATAGCACCGTGTCTGAGGAAGGGGGCTTGCTTTCCAGAAGCATATGAATATGTGGTAGCATAACATACCACGTTAAAATTCATGGGAGAGGAAGCCTCTAAATTGGGAGATTACAGCATCATACCATCAGGAGGTTTAAAAAAAAAAATATAAATCAATAGTAATAATAACAATAATATCATAATCACCATCACTATCATAATTATTTTTTCTTTGATATTGTTTCTTTCAAATAAAAATATTACATATATTCAGAACATCAGAAATACATATTTTTAAAAGTTGAATTAAATATCTACAAGTTCCTTTCCTATTCTTAATTATGCAAGTACCCAGCAAGACACAAACGCATGAATACAGGAATATAGACACAGCAGACACAGACAAATGCCCTGATGAAAAGATCACATCTTTCCTCCTGCATTTCCTTGCTGTGGCTTGGGTTTATATTTCTTCATTTCTTAAGCACTTTTAACATTGAATCAGCTTTTTTTATTCAAGAAAAGTATCATGGGGAAACTACTAACCCTCTTCTGCACCCTCAAGCAGCTGATCTCTGGTCCACAGTGATAGCTTCGAAGAAGCCAGCATCTCTGCCATTATCCCCCTAGCTGCAATCTCCCAGGTGGCCCACTCCAACCCATGGAGAGCTGTTGGTGTCACCTCAACAGCCATTAGAGGAATCACATTCCCTAGTAAGAACACCAATCTCTTAGTCAAGCTGTTTGGGCTTTTATTAATTAAATATTCCACATACAAACTACTAAATAAATATATATATATCTGTGTCAGACACCAGTGTACCATAAACACCCACTTCGAGAGCTCTATGTATTTATATATGAAATATCATGGCAAACTATTTACCAAATGCAAAGCAGGCTACGGAATGATTCAACTCTGCAGACTCATTGCTCATCACTAGGGTGCAGTACACATGGTGTGCACACGCACACACACGCACATGCTTATGCATGCTTACTCCTGGGAAGAAGGGCATCTGCCCTCTGTAACCTGGCTTCTTGGGAAATGTTCATGTTAATGCCACAGACACACTCTGGAGGAGGCAGATCTCTAAACTGCATGGGATTAAATCCCACCAGGGTATTGCAAGCAGCTGCATGGAAGAGGTTTTGTCTGCAGGGATCCACAGCCTGGGGTGGCAGGGGTGGGGAGGGAGGGTTTGTGGGTTTGGGTAGGCACTCTGGGGAGCTCAGCTAGGGTGCATGATCAGGTGTCAGAGCTAGGAGGGAGGCTGATGCTAGACCACAAATCAGAAAATGTGTCAGAATAAATAGGTGTAGATATTTTTATGTCTTTAAATTTTCTTCCCCATCTCCACCATGGTTTCTAGGTGATGAGGGTGGGGTTGGAAGTGAACATGAAAAATAAAAAAGGAATATTCTCTCTCTCTCTGTCTCTTCTGCACTGAACTCTGGAGGAGAGCCAGGCAGGGCTAGGAGTGGGCACAAAAGTAACAGTGAATAGATGAGGGTGGTTTTGGTAGTACCTGAAATGTGTTCACAGGTGGGCAGGAGTGGGGATGTGTAGGGCTGATGCTCCTGCTCCTGACTCTTCTCCTGTGAGACATGGTGTGCAGACACCATGAACTGAGTCCTGGCTGGACTCAGACCCAGCTGATGATCTTCCTGCTGCTCCAGCCCTACAGCATTCCTGCTGAAAATAGGCCAGGACAGGCTCTTCCCAGCATGTTCCTCTGTCAGAAGAGATGAGTTCCATCCCAGGGAGAAACAGAATGAGCAGGAACAGGATAGCCAGAGTGGTGTCTGAAAGCTGTGTCTGAGGAATGAGAATGGGCTACAAGGGTGCCTGTGAGGGGAAATGAGGACCCCTCTCTTCTTTTGCCAGTGTGGGTTGACTCTGTCTCTTCTGCAGGATTGACTGATTTGTCACCACATGGCCTATTCCCCACGCCTCTGCTGACAGGCACGTAGTCTCTTTGCTCACTGTGGAGCTGCTACATGGGGCCTTTCCCACCAGTGTAGTCATGGTATGGGCTTGTCCGAGCCTTGGGCCGAGGGATGGAGAAATCATTTTGGGGTTCGATGGTCTGAAAAGGAAGCATGGAAGTCTTTACCATTCAAAAATGGAGAGAAGTAATAGAATAAAAAAAAAAAAAAAAAAAAAAAAAAAAAAAGAGGGGAGGGAGAAATTGAACTGAAGGTTTCCTGAAAGTGTGAAAGTGTGATCAGTGGGGCTGTGGAAGAGGATCCTGGCAGAACAAACCAGTAATGTACACATGTCACCAGAGGACATGTGGGGACATGATGTGAGCTACTAGACCTCGCTAGGCTGTGGTCTGAAGGAGAACTGGTAAACAGACATGGGGACATCTGGATCTGCACTGAAAATTAGTGACTGATGGTGACAATACATTCAGGGCACTGGCTGAGGAAAGGCGCATGATTTCCTCAGAAAAGGGCACAGTCTATGGCAGAAACTGTGCTCAAAGAGAGGACTTCTTTTGTGATGTCAGATCCAGAAGAACTGAAAACCACAACCTCATACACTTCCTTGGGCTCCTCTTGCCTTCCCATGTCCCTGGACATGTCACAGCTCCCTCCCCAGAGCCACAGGCACCTCCATGAACACATGCCATGGTATCGCTCCATGCAAAGCACCTGCCTGCCTCCACAGAGACTGCTCTAGGTCCATCTGTCTTTGCTCCTTCTCCTCCTCCCTTCAGCACCTGAACAATAGCCTACATATGGTGAAACAGGTGAAGAAGGGTGTGAACTTACCTTCATCTGAAAGTGAGAAGAGTATGGGGAGTAGCTGCGGTCTCCTTCGTCTCCTGAGTCACAAGACAATAGGAGGGGAAGTTAGTGAGTTAATGTTATATGGTAGATTGGAAATATCCCATCAAGGGAGAATCAAAGGGCCTGTTACAACGTTAGCAGCTGCTGTTAGCGTGATCAAACTATGCAGTATGCAGGCAGGAATGGCTTAAATTCCATAGGTGGGTAACTTATTAAATATTTCTGTATGAAAGCAAATAACAGGATATAGGTGGCCTTGGAGTTTAGACACCTCTTGTTGCCTCACAATTACTGTCATCATCACCAGCCAAATCCCTCCCACTCACATGCACAGGACCCCCTCTGTGGTATTCCCTGGGAGAACACAGCCTTTCTCAGCTATTCTTTTACAAACCTGGAGGTCTGACCCCAGGGGACAAATGTGACCTGAGTAGCAGATCCATGGGAAGTGCAGTCATATCTCCTACCCATAGATTTGGGAAGCCTCAGTTGATGAAAGTGAGACCTCCTTGCCTCCTTTTTGGATGATGGGTTCATTTTTAAATGGATAATGGGAACCAGATCAGAACTTGAACACAAAATCTCCAAGGTATAACCTGGAGAGGTCTGAAGAGCTGGAGCATTGCTAAGAGGGAAAAAAAACCTCCTGAATTTTTACATGGACTTCCCAGGCATAACAGAATCATAAAGAGTTATGTCTCAGCCCTGATACACAGTACATCTTCTACTCAGTCACTCCTAGACATCTTTGGCTTTTGCACTGGTTCTTACTCTTTTCCCTCTTGTCTGTAGATTCATTTTCACTTGTATTTATGAAGTCTTATCAGTCCAAAACTTTTTCTAGCTCTAAATTATCCATTATCTTCAAATCTTTTGCTGTGACCCTCCTACCCCTTTTAGCTTGTGAGTGGTGCATATGTGCTCAGGGTTGGGGGGACAGTGGAGTCATTCATCATACCTTGCACAATTTCATCTTGGGTATAGGCACGGTTGTCCACTCCAATTGTCTGTTTTATGAACTTGGGTTGGCAGAAGTCATTTTCTGGAGGGTAGTCTCCCAGCTTCAGAGGTGCAGTGAGGAAACAAATTTCAGGGACGATATACATTATCAGGAAAATCCATCCATTGGACACCAGAGCAATGGCCACGACAGGATCATCCCAGCTACGTTTCTTTAAAACCGTGTTGCCTTTTGTGAGCATAGTGATCCACACTACCCAAATGGCAATGGAGAACAGGATAGTGACAAAGATGTGGGCCCCGTGCCTCTTCCAGCTTTTGTATGACCCACAGAATGTGAACATAGAAACCAAGAAGGTCAGAGCCATCAAGAAGAGCACATAGATCAAAAGCATAACAAAGTCCTTGTTGGTGTTCTCTGGAGACATATTCAGAAATATGTCTTTCTGGTTTACTAGCATGGTGACTAAGTACTCAATGTTGATCACAACTTGTACCAGGGCAAAGGAAACAATGAGGAGCAGCAGCACCAGCCAGGAGAAGGGCTTTCTTCCTCTCACTAGTTTGTTGAGGTTGCAGGCATGGGTGAGGAGGCATGAGAAGCAGAGAGCAAAGATGACTCCAAATAGGAAGAAGCGAGTGGGGCGAGTCCTGTCATTGAGTCTAATGATGAAGGCAAAAGTGAGACCAAAAATGCCTAGCGTTCCTAAGAGAAAGAAGAAATAGATGGAGACCATGTGTCGCTTGCTGTTGTCTTGGATTTTACAGATGAGAAAGAAGAGTGAGCAGATGAGGAAAATGGTGATGAGGATGCCAGCTGCAGCCAGCGACTCCAGGACAATCCCCCAGGCCTTCTCCATGTCACAGAGCAGGTAATAGTCAGCAGCAATGCTGCCGCAGCCTCGGGGAGGCGACATCATCCTTTTGTGTTCTTGAACAACCTCCCCTTGAAATGTTTCCACAAAGCTGTAGAAGAAGAAAAGTCATGGACTGTCATATCAACTACCTGGGCGTGGCCAGCAGTGGTGAAGGAGAGGCAGGACAGAACTCCATCCACACCTCACCGGGCAAGGATACCACAGTGGTATCTAAGAACATGGGGCTGTGGGAGCAGAGCCATTCCTTTGTTTGGTGTCATCTCTCTATCAAGGGCAAGCCAAACCCCTTAGCAAGAGGCAATTCACCTTGCATATCCTCTTCACTGTGCCTGGGGTTGTGCAATGTCATAGGAGTGTGGAGAGCACAGAGAAGGTGAGGTGCTTTTTGAAGGTGTTAGCTTAGTGCCCTGCAGCACAGAGACAGAGCTGCCTTGTCACTTTTGTGATACAAGAGCAGCTGCTAGTCATAATACAGTTGGTGCTCTTTTGAAAAGTTCAAACAAAATCAGTACCTTTTGTCTGTGAGGTTCAGAGATGAGCAGTGAGAAACAGGAAACTCGTTACTCTGTTTCTTTTCCCCCTTTCACTTTCTCTGAAACACTCTTGGCTTTGGTTTATGGGTATGAATGAAGGGAAACTTTCACTGCCTTTTATCCTGCAGATAACTAACCTGGATGCCTCCAGCATATCCCTTCTCACTTCAAATCAAATAGCAAATAAGCCCTAAACTCATATGCTTCCTTCTTCATGGCAGCGCAGCAATAAGAACTGTCTCAAAGACTTCAGTCCCCTCCCTGAAATACTGCCTTGCGCTGGCTGGAAGTCTGACATGGTAGAGATAATGCTGTTCACTGCATGAGAAGTAACCACCAAGTTATTGCTTGAGGAGTACAGGAGTCCAGGATGGATAAGGTCTCTAACATACCCAGCACATTCCTGCTGTCTCATCATGAGGAGTTCAGTGCTGTCTGAGTAAGCCTGGTTTAAGCCTGTCTTGCCACAAGATAAGAGGGATGTTTAGGTGAGCTCTGCCCATCGCCAAGGGGAATTAAGTTGCCTACTTCCATGGGAGCCTGAAGCATTTGCAGAAACCACTGCATGAAGTTATTGGGCACTTCATGGCCCATTATGCAGGCACTGAGTACAGATCTCAGGACCAGGTACTGCTTTCTAGGTACCAGATTGCTCAGTTAGGGTTGGGTCTGTAAAATCTATCAAAACAGGAGTTTAGATACAATATTGTCATGAAGCATGGAAGAATCTGGCCTTAATGGTGACCCATACTGGAAAACCAACAGCTTTCTTTTCTGACATATAAAGAAAAAAGTTGGCCTTGCAAAATTTAGTCTTTAGTGTTCACCGTGCCGTTTGCCTTAATTTCCCCCCTCCAGAACAACATACTGCAGTTATGAGGTTGGTTCTAAAACCCTTCCAACAGATTTTAAGGAGTGTAGGTTGAGTCATCAATAAATGGCCATTGTTCTAATCAAGGGATGAACAAAGGGGGAAAATATCACCGACTCACTCTCAGCCCCATATATGCCTCAACATAATCTGCTTATAAGCAGTGAAAAATTTTTCCAGCTTTTAACCTCACTGTGTAAAAGGAGGTGTGCAACTCCACAGAAAGTCAGCTACAATAAAATGCAAATTATTCAAATGTGCAGGAACTCTGTACTCCCATGGAGAGAATGGAATTAATGAATAACACATGTAGGAGTTTTCACCAATCTTTTTTCATAAAATTTTGGGGATTTATGATCTCTTGCACAAATAGCTGAGAGTTATGTGGAAATTTGTGAATAATAAACAATGAAACTTTCTGAAAATCTGGAGAACAAACGCTACAATTTTATCCACAGACATTTACTGTTGATCAGATTAACTTATCTATTCACAGCTCTGGCAGGTAAAAACTAGTGCCTGCTGTCAGGGCAGGAGGAGAGCCCAAAAAGCCAGCATGAAACCCCAGGGCAGCACAGAGCACACCCACAGCTTTTGGGTCCTGACTGGTGCTTATAGCAAGTGGTACTTGCCACAGCATGCTGTCAAGGCCCTTGTAACAAATAGGATGGAAAGAACCTCGCTGTCTTGGACAACTGGGCCACTTGTGCTGATTTTTACTCCCTTTTTTTTTTTTTTTTTTTTCCCCAGGGTAGATGTCCTGTGAGGTATAGAGTCTCTGCCCTGTCTCCTGGGTGTTGCCCCCAGAAGCCAAGTCTCTTCATCCAGCACCTACAGAAGTGTCTGAGATTTCCAAGGGGCTCTGCAGTCTATTCAAGGGAGCCTGTGATGTGGTAACTTTGCAGCTCATTCCAAATCATGGCTCTACCTTAGTGTTGAGCTTTCTCTCTCCAGCCTGAGCCTCCTCTCTCATTGATACTTGTGGGTAAACTACACCCATACAGCCACAAATTTCAAGTAAATTCCTATGAAAGTCTGCCATAACTCTCTCAGCTCCAGCTGGCAGTCCCCTGTTAAGAGTCAAGGGTAGGAGGCATTCTCTGTCTGCCGTGGCACCCCATGCCCCTGCTCTCCCACCCCCTAGAGCCATGGTCCTGCATGCCATCCCACCCCAGCCACAGAAAGCAGCTCCACCCTGGATCCTGTAGGACCAGGATGTCCTGTAGGACGTTGCCTTGAATTACCTTTCTGGGTCCTGCCCGAAGAAGGCAACAGGGAGGCTCCAGCTAGAAGAGGCAAGTTCCCAGTACACCGGTTACACAGTCACCTCTGCGTCTGTAACCCCGGCTGAGCAGCAGTCTCACGCTCACCCTCCTTGGGAGCTTTAACAGCTGGAGGGCTGAGGAGGTGGGGCTGAGCACACCTATTCCAGTTCCACCGCCTCTCCTCTCTGACAGCACACAGCTATGAAAATATGGTCCCTGTGCCAGGAAATGAAGTAAGGCCTCCTGACGTCAGCAGGGCATTCACCCCTGCGTCGGGGTGGAGATGGAGCTGCTGCTTGTCCCAGCTCTGGGGCAGGATTGAATGCTGCTCTGCCAAGTGCCTGATAAGGTGCTCCCCTATCAGACTCCTAGCACCCGTGGGTGGGGACCGTGGCTGTGAATAGCAGTGCATGCCCTCCCTGCGCCAAGTGTTTTGTGTCTTTGCATGCTTTCTTGCCAGGTAACTGCTTGCAAGATGGAAGACCGTGCAAGGAGGTTGTTGGATGCAAACAGGCCCACAGCACCTGGAGGGAGAGTGGCTGCAAGGCTGGCTCCACAGACAATTTCCTAGAGGCTCTTGCTGGGTGCTGAATCTGTGCAGGGGGACACATCTGCTCTGCTCATCCCTTCCACTTGTGCCAGCGAGAGCCACAGGCTCCTGTCCTGAAAAGGAGTTTGCCTTCCCTGGTGTCTCATTCAGCCCAGCCCTACTCTCCAAAGGCACAGTTCTGTCAGCTTGCAAGCGCTGAGTCACTTTGTCCAAATTTCGGGCCCAGACAGTTAATGAATGAAGGCAATGACAAACTCCCCCTTGCTCTACATTGTGCCTCTGGCCTGACACACCTATCAGTGCAATCCCATCCAAAGCCCTGGGTATCTCCAACGTGCTCATGACTTCATCTGTTATTTTAAGTATTACTCACTGTGAGTATTTTATTATTCTGAATAAGGAATGGACATCAGGGCCTATCCACACCAAGCATTCAGTCCCTACACACAACCCCTAAACCTGGAAATCCTTCCCACCCAGTGGAACTTGTGCTCCTTCCCAAAACTGTAGGAGCAGCTGTACATGCTGAGATGCCCAGCTTTTATGTAGGTACCTAGATATGTAGGTACATATAAGTATCTACATATAATGACCTACATATCTAGGTACCTTAAATGTACCTAGATACATACCTTATATGTACTTATATGTAGGTCCACCACACGGACTTCATTCTGGTGCATCAGCGTAGACAAATATGGGCTGAAGCCTGACTGCTCATGGTTGTCTCATCTGAATTGTTTGTTTGTTTGTGTGTTTTAGGGCCCCTGGCTTATTTCTAGGTGCTGATCCCTTTTGAATGTCACATGCAGAGACTACCACTTGCATACCCCCTAGAAGGACATGAGGGCCTGCAGGGATGAGTGCCTTATTGAGTGAAATGCAACACTTAGTGTTGTCACTGCAGGGTGGACCATGCTGAGCCCTACGACAGTTCCTCATGTCCCTCCTACTTTCATTTCAGTGCAAAATCCTGAGGCTTCTTAGGAAAGGACATACCAGGTTTCTTGACATGAAATTAATCTTAACATTAAAGGCTTAGTGAGCCAGCCAAGGAGGAGGCAGTTGTGAAAAATGAGAGGAGAAAAGGAGTGATGGAGAGCAGTTTAGCACCAGCTCAGTATGAGCCAAGCTGACATGCTAAGAAGCTTTCAAAGGTCACTGGCCACTGCCAGCCTCTTTGCATCTTGTCAGAGCACATTATGGACTGTCAGTTACTTCCTTACATTTACACAGACATACAAAACTCCATGGAAGGCAGCGTGTCAAATTATGTTGGGGGAAAAAGAAGAAAAGATGAGTATTTCCAGAATGCCTGAGAAATCCTTGAAAATCCGTTGTCAAACACACCCTGTACTTTCAAAAGGCTAATAAATGGGACTACATTTAAAAAAAAATCCCAAGTCACTTAGCCCAAGTGCTGCTGACTCATGATAGGTAGCCTGAGAAATGGTGCTCGTGACCCTCATGCTGTGCCAAGGAGGGTGGATAAGCATCGATGGTCTACATGGGTGAGAACAAATGGCACAACAATCACACCACAAAGGTGAGGATGATTGTTACCTTGCTTTAGGGATGGGATGCAGCTTGCAGATAGAGGCACTGAAATTTAGATCCCTGATGGTTATTACCTAAATGTGAGCTGCGTGTCTCAGCTCCCAAACAGCCAAAAGGTCGGAAGGACTGGCCCAGCAGATCGGATGCAGATGCCTATTTCTGTGTACACCAAAATGCTCCCAGGTGTGGCTGGCTGGATTGCCTGGGGCCTCACCTTAGATACTTGCAAATCGGCATATAATGTCATTTGAGATGCCACAGGGTATCCTGCTCAGCTTCTGAGGACCACTCCAGGAGCACATGGATCTCCACACCTCCTGTATCAGATTTGGCAGTTCTGTGCGGATGTTTTTATACCCTTAGTCACCTCAAAGCACATTCGTAAGAGCAAATGGATTGAGTGCTGAATCTCCACTGGCTAGTTCAGAGCTGAGATGCCCAGCATATATGTAGGTACCTACGTGTAGATGACCAGCATATGGACTTCATTCTGCTGCATCAGCATAGATAAATAGTTCATTGAAGGTACTGTAGCTCATCCACCTGTAACTCAGGCACCACAACAGGGATGGCATATATAAGAGCTGTGAGAAAGTACCCTTCTGGAGCATCAGCTCACACTAAATAATCCAGGAGAGATCAAATAGTCTTGGCAACAGTGTGTGGACGATTAAATTGACTCCTAGGTGTCTACAGAGCAGACTTCATCTGAGGCAGTCATCCAGATTCCTAGTATAGTTGGTAGAGAGGCAGGCACTTCCAGGGGAGTTTCAGTTGACCTGCTTCAGAACAAACCAAATCACACCTGAGAAGTATCTGTTTCTCTTTAACAGAGGTGAAGGGAGACAAAATAATGAATTAATATATCGATCTTTACACTTGTCAGCTGAACTGCACAGCAAGTCTCCAAAATCTCAACAAAATCCAGTAGCAAAGTGCCAGTGATGTTGGTTGTTCCTTTGGGTGGGAGGCTGTTGGTAGCAAAGCAGCTTGTTTTGGCCATACTGCAGCCCTGGACAAGCAAGTTGGCTGCCAGTGAATGAGAAGTGTCTATATCTGACAAGAAGAGGCAGGGATGACAGCAGGCACCCATACCTCCCCTTCCAGTCCTTGGGAAGCAGGATGAGGTGGAGGAGGAGGACTGGGATCTCCCTCTATGTTGGCTCCACTCCTTTCCCCTTCTGGCTGCTGACATTACCTGGCCCTCCTCCTTCCTGTGGGGTGTCAATGCCCAGTGCTGCCCACAGTGCCCTGGGCCAGCCCTGCTCCCCTGGCTTCAGTGTCACAGGGATGAGCTGACAGCAAAGGGCAGAGCACTGCAGCCCCTCTCATCTCAGCCAGGTCTGGGAGGTTCAGGGACTGAGTTAGTATCTTTTATTAAGTCAAGTAATAAAGCAGCTAGATGCCTGGGGAGAGATGGTGTGTGGTGCTCTGGAATGTGTCTAAATAACATTTATTTTTGGTCACTGATACTGGCTGCATTGTGAATTCGCTTGTGTCATTCCTTCTGCTTAGCTACCTGTGCAGTATACTGACAACAAAGCAGAAGCCTTGCTCCCTGAAAAAAATCACCCGTGCCAGCACTTACCACAGTCATACTGAGCTAACATTACAGCAGCCTCCACCCTGTCCTTCATCTTAAATCAGTTCAGTTATAAATGTTATGACACCCTTGGAAACAGCCTGCCACAGTGGTGATGGGTCTTCAATCCAGGCAGCCAGCTCAGAACACCTCTGCCTTAGACAGGAACAAAGACCAGGGGTATAATTTCTGGAAAGGTACATATGGCACCTCCACATAACACTGGACTTTTTTCTGGGGCTTCTGTCCCTGAATCTCTTGTGCTCTGGCTCTGAAAGCATGTATCCAAAGATCACCAAAAACCCTAAGAGATTAATCCTTTTCCTTCAGAAATTAGAAGTGTGGCAACAAAAAAAGAAATGTTATCTAAAAAAACTGCAGAAGAAACTCATACCAATATCCTTCAGAGCTGTTCATTGTCTCTGCAGCCATCAGCTCTTCCAAACTGCATGCTGTGCTCCCTGCCATTTTCAGTCTCGGAAACAAAATAAAACATTTCCAGTATGTAAGTGATGTGCTTTGCTGTGAGTGTTGATTTTCAAAGAAGCTTCCTTCTTTAAATGAGTGCGTTTTGGCCAACCCCTTTCTTTTCCTGGCTCCTAAATGCCCGTATTCCTGGTAGATGAAGTTCATTTACTGGGAGAGGGAGAGATTTGGGCAAGAAAAGGGCAAAATATTAAAATATTTAAACCAGTGCTACTGAGTATGTCCTTTAAACAGAAACTTTCAAGCCTGTGAATTATCTGCCAGACCATCCCTAATTTGTGAGAAGACCCTGCTTCTGGAAATGTAATGGAAATGGACTGCCTGATCCTCCAACTAGGAACATAATGCTCTGCTGTTCTGTGAACAGGATCACTTCTGTATGCAATCCCAGGTACAGCCAGTCTAGTACCTATAAACCCAGGGGTAGGGGGTGGCTTCTGGAACACTCGCCAAAACTGTGCCGAGTTCATGACTTGTTCTTATCCCACAGAGGCAGGTGTCACACCATCTTTTGTGCTCTACAAGTGTGAAGCTGGAGCAAGAACTTATTTCTGAAGCAGAAATAAGGCAGCTAAGAGCACCTGTGGCTGTGATCACTTTGTCTAGGAAGAGCCTTTCATACAAAACTGGTGCTCTTAAATGCTGTGAGCAAATGAAAAAAAAAATAATTAGATTTATCACCTCCTTTAGGACTGTCAACAGCGTGCTGATAAACATTTCAATCACAACAACTGAGCCTCTATATGTAGTTTTGTGGAGGTATCCTATGCCTATCCACTTACCAGAGCAGCTAAGAATACTCCAGTCCTCTTTTATGGCATTAACTTCATCTGCTTTTGTGCTGATGTGTTCCCAAAGCAGCAAGTTGCATTGATATGGATGAATGGGTATTGTACGTAGAGACACATTTAGGAAGAAGTGCATAACTTTCAGGAAACAAAGGACCTGAAAACATACCAACTGGTGGGGATGTTGCCTGATACTCCCAGAAAGACAGACATGTCAAGGGAGATCCAGGAGAAACTGCATTTTCTCTCTCCCAGAAAGGCTGATCCCAAGTCTGGGGAAATGATTTAGGAGAGATGGGATGTCTGGCTGCATCTTTAGCTGGTGAAACCTAACAGACTCTCAGCAAAGCACTACAGCAGTCATCAGCCTTTGCTTTCCTTGTGTATCATCCCTCATTTTGGTACCCTTGCCTGACCCCTAATGGTGTTCCCTTTGGTACTCCTTGACCACTGTGCCTGGAGTAGTTTTCCCTTTTCCACTCCACACTGCAAGATGTGGACACACTGCAAGAGATGACTGGCTGAAATTCCCACTGAGAGAAGATTAGGCCCTCTCTTGCACAGGTGACTGTTAGCAATAGATGTTCTGAGACAACCATGCTGCCCTGGAGTCTCAGGCTGATTTGTCTTGTCAGTAGTGCCTTGGATAAGAGGCTCTTCATAGAACTGCTTCCATACAAGAAGTATTCCTGAGAATCAAGTTGCAAACAAAAACTCCCTGCTCAATGATACAGAAAATTCTGCTTTACTGCTCCTGGATCAAACGCCACTGCAATGACACAAAACAAAGCTAAGATTCAACATAAATCATGCCTCCCTTTTAGATTTCATCAGAAAAAAAGCATTGATATATATTTTTTGGTTTTTTACAAACAAGCTTCATGCTGATACAGATCTGTGCCCCCCCACAGCCAGCATAAAAGCCAGCATAAACTCAATATTGTATGCCTTGGCTGAAGTATCAAAAATGCAATTGTATTAACACTTTTAATCTTAATCAGACACACTGAGTGATATGGCTGTGCACAAATCTGCTATTGACTGCAGAACCATGGCCTGGGATCAGGCAGCACTTTTGGTCAGCGTGTGTTATCCAACCAAGGCTAATCATTAATCAATGCTGTCATTTCT